TACATCAACACCTCAAATTTAAATATTGTTTTTTTCTAGAATTAAAGCAAAAGAAAATACCTAGAACAAGATGAGTTCCAGCAAGGATGCGATCCCCGCCAGCAGCAAAGGTTCCTGGTCAAGCTTCCTCAAGGTATGGCACAACCTGCCTCAATTGACAACCCGATGTCTTGACTAATCGATGCGCCCTCCTAAAGTCCATCGCTTCTTTCAACGGCGACCTCTCGTCCTTGACCGCTCCACCTTTTATCCTGTCCTCCACCTCCCTGACCGAGTTCTCCGCCTACTGGGCTGAGCATCCGCACCTTTTGGTGGCCCCAGCTACAGAAGTGGACCCCGAGAAGAGAGCCCTGGCTGTTCTAAAATGGTTTATCAGTACCCTCCACCAGCAGTACTGTACCCGCAGCGAGAAACTCGGTAGTGAGAAGAAGCCCCTGAACCCCTTCCTGGGAGAGCTCTTCCTGGGCAAGTGGGACGCTGATGAGCATATCGGGGAGACTTCATTGATCAGTGAACAAGTCAGGTAGGTGGAACCCTCAAAACAAGTCCTTTTCGACCGCAGGAGGTTGACTGGAGTCAGCCACCACCCCCCAGCAACCGCCTACGCGATTCGGAATGAGAAACATGGGGTAGAAGTAAGTCTATATCTTTTGTTTATATTCTTGCTTCCTCTTTCAGAGGGTCATAACTCACGTTATTTCTGTACAGCTACAAGGCTATAACGCCCAGAAGGCCTCCTTTTCAAGCACCATCCAAATCAAACAGATCGGACACGCCCTCCTGACCGTCACCCCACCCAACGCGGATAAGAACGACCCGGCCCAGAAGGAACAGTACCTTATCACACTTCCAAGCTTGCACATTGAGTCCTTGATCTATGGAACTCCATTCATCGAACTGGAAAAGACGACTCGGATTGTCAGCAGCACCGGCTACGTGGCCAAGATCGATTACTCGGGTAAAGGCTGGCTGAGTGGAAAGAAAAACACATTTTGCGCTATCTTGTATAAGGAAAGCGAAGGAGAGAAGAAGCCTTTGTACACTGTCGATGGGCAGTGGTCGGATAAGTTCACCATCAAGAATGCCCGAACCAAGGAAGAAGTGGAGACGTACGTGGTTAAGGATAACAAGACCACTCCGCTCCAGTTGGCCCCACTGGAGGATCAGGACGTTTACGAAAGTCGGCGTGCTTGGCGGGACGTGGCTTCGGGCATCGAGCGGGGCGACATGGACGCCGTGTCTGTGGCCAAGTCGAAGATTGAGAACGCCCAGCGCGAGCTTCGCAAGGTTGAAAAGTCCGAGGGCCGGGAATGGGAGCGCCGCTTCTTCAAGCGCGTAGACGAAAACGAGGATCAGGAGCTTCTGCAACTTGCGAGAAAGGCCGGTCTTACATCGCTCGAAGGCGACAAGACTGGTGGGGTGTGGCGCTTCAACCCAGCAAATGCAGACGGTGCGAAGCCGCCGTATCACAAGGCCGGTGGCGATGGCCTGGGCGTATGATTGCCGGAGATCGGGTTTAACGCTTTATACAATCCACTTATAGTTTCATTGATGGTTAAGGCACCGCAGTGGCATCTGCGCTTATAGAATGCGTTTGCTTGAACAAGAATCTCTCTTTTGTTTTAATCTAAACCTTTGTTTCATTCTTCTTGGGGGTTCTGATACTTTTCGGCTTCTGTATATAGAACACGACGATCAATACACAGGTTGTCTTTTGCTTCAGGCTCCGAACTTTCGTCCGCAAAGTTTATGATCCATACCAGATCCACAGCTTCCACGTAGATCAGGCTCTCCTTGGCACCAGAGTACTCAAAAATAGTAGATTCAGAGTGGTAAACGCGTAATTTCATCACTGATTGGGAGTTTCTGTTATCTAAATTGAAACAAGATCTGTCGGGAATCAATAGTCCCTGCCTCGCATGCATATTCTCCAATGTGATGGAGGGCATTAGGCAGAAACCCTAGTGTTTCAGTTCCCCTTTTCTCGGATTTCAAATTTTCTTTTTCCCCTGATTTTTGGCCCCCTTACCTATAGCTACTATCAGTGCCTAAGTGGGTAGCTTAATTAAAGCACGTCCATCGTTGATCACTGCCTAAGTGTCAAGGCAGGAAGATCATGGGTCCATCGCATCATAGTGAGACATCTCGTCGGCAATTCTGGGGCTATGGGAAACAATGTAGCTGTGTCAGTCCTGGACACAATTAGGGCATGATGGATTTTCTTTTGCTGGCAGTTCTCCTCCCCTCTTGTGACAATTATCAGCGTGTCGATAGCCTCAGTGTCAGGATATATCGGACTTTAGTGTAGAACTCGAGTACTTGAAAGACGTTCCAGGGGGGGGAGGGGAGGAAACGTTATACATACACACACGAGTACGAGGCCAACGTAGCCTTACGTCTATTATAAGTTGCCATTATATCATATATATATATCTATATACTTCCTAGATAACACATTCAAATTCACACTGTCCATATCAATCTCGTACATAGAACCCTTACACCTAAACTTCCCCAAAATGTCACCTAAGTAATAGTAGTATATATTCTACCAACGTCAGCCACAACCATGCACGCACTCACTATTAATCTGCAGCCATAGGTCCACTTAGAAATACAATACCTGGCGTGCAAAAAAAACCCTTGACGTATTATAGGGATCAAATCTCCTTGCTACAGCAGGTTTCTCTGCCAAATGGTAAAGAGGTCAATGGAAACCCAAATGACGTGCTTGATGTCCTCAGTGATCTTGCGTATATGTATGCGTTCCGGATTCCTTCCTCTTCGGAGTAAACAGTTACAGTCCGTGAATTACCAAGGAAACTTGGATTGTCACTGTCCATGGTTGTTCCCGTTTATAATCCATGGCTGCGTCCGATGGCCACGACAAGGCTATTTATCAAACCCTAATATCTGGAGAGTGGCATTGTGAAATTAAGTACTAACTATGTGCAAATACTGGAAGCTGTCGGTGATTAATAGGTTTATAGTAAGATCGCCTAGGAGCTTGTTGTTATCCTCGTGATATATATATATATTTACTTGACGTCCGTTCTCGTCTAACTATCTCAGGACACACATTTCTACCATATGTAATATACATGTTCTATTTAGTTTATCTTACAAATGTCGTCAAGGTATATAACCTATGCTTATCACAAAGCATGGATGCGATACATCTATATAAGGGATGGTTGGTGATTGTTATATACAAAAGTCAAGTAGGTAAAGTTTACTTCTAAGCAAAAGTGCTTCGTTCCAAGTTCGTCAACATCGTGGATGGCTATTCTATGAGCACCGTAAACTTTCTTCAGGGTTGTGCATGCTCATGGTGTCCGAGGCAGGCTTTTGTATCAGGAGGTTGAGATTTCCCGGGTACCACACCCCCCAGATCACCATGACCGCGAACATCAGCAAAGCATCGAAGACATACATTGGCCATTCATGGCTCAACAAGTACCCGTCCTGGCCCATGGCATATTCGATTACCCGGAATATAGACCGAACCATGATCAGCAAGCTGACTGCATAGAGTGTGTGCAAGTGGGATTTCCAGGGAATCGCCTGGTCGAATGCTTGGGCCGTTGGATGCTGATGCATACGTCTTTGAAACACAATCGAAGTCGCAATAAACAGACCGAACATGATAACTTGAATCAACAAGCCGAAAATTACGATGTTCGTTCCCATCTCCGCGTTTGAACCTGTCGCCATCAGACCTGCTGCGCTACCTTGGACCACGAAGGAGAGCACGTCGCCGAGAACAAAGACTTTTGTCAACCAATTGACTCGGATCAGAGAGTGATGTTCGGCTCGGACACTACGGATGATACGGCCGAGGGTCATGTACACTGATGCGGCGAAGAGAACCGGACCAAGAAGAATGAACACATTCTGGATGCAGTATGGCAGGATTTTTCCAGTTCTGTTGTAAGCAGCAGCCCGCCCACCATATCCAATAACTTCGACTGTGAGAATGTTAGGATCGTCCAATGCAATCTAAGTAAGGGTAAAGCAGCGCTCACATATGCCTCCAATGGCGAAGGCGAGACAGAACCGAGCTCGCATTTTCCATATCTTCCAGAAGTGGTAGATGGTGGCACTGAGAAAGAGTAAGAGGAAGATAACAGCTGCTGGGACTGATGGTAGATATGCCCAGAGGTAGTAACCTCCTGCATGAGGCTCAAGTTGTGCCATTGTTGTGAGAGCCGTTTGTTAATTGTATGTCTTTTGGGAAGTATCCTGGGATCATCCTCAAAGTTCGGGGGCGAATCATTTTGCATTTATATGTCCAAATACTGGACGGGAAGGATTTCATGCACCAGAGGAGGGATACTATACGCGTAAAGAAATTGGCACGAAGCCTCTATAGACTGCACTGCTTCCTGAAGGAAATCGACCGAATACGCGTATCGACCACGGTAGTGGATCCGATATCAAACTGGTCCGTGCATACGCGGATTCCTTATTTAGGCTTCGGGCCACCTCGAAGCCTCTCGCTTCATGCGCTAAGAAGCCTTCTTTAGAGTCCAGCTGGATCCAAAGCCTGCAGTGAGCTATCAGCAGAGTCTGCGTATATGGAAGACATGATTCGATAGTGTGTCAGGAACAGGTTGGCGAACAGACCGCAGTCACCCACATGAATAGTCAGTAGCTTCTGGGGATGTGGCGATCATAACCATGCCACGCAGAACGCATAAAAAGTCGCGCAATGGATGCCTGGAATGCAAACGACGCCATATAAAAGTAAGAGAGCGACCCTCAAGAGCGCTGACGTTAGTATCGCTGAACCGAGACAGTGTGACGAAAAGCGGCCGACATGTACCAACTGTACAACTTCGGAACGCTTCTGTGAATACGCGGACATCTTTCAAGTTGCTAGGCGATCTCACACCAACACTTCGCCAGTCTCACCCCCCGCAGTGGCTGCGGCAAGAGATCAGCCGTCTGATGGTGCGAGTCCGAGATCCGACTCGCTTCCCCAAGATGCGCCGGTCAATATGCTTCACATGCAGCTGTTACACCACTTGATGACAGAAACACGAAAAACATTTTGGGAGAGCTTCGATGTGGTTGTCGCTTCTCCCGAGACTCTACAGATTTGCATGTCTTCTCCGTATGTCATGAATGAGCTACTAGCCCTCAGTGCCCTACATCTGAGCACCTTGCGTCCAGTAGAGCAAGAATTCTATCGTCACCACGCAGCGCAACTGCAAACGCACGCATTGGCAATCCTCAACAGTATGGAGCTCGAATTAACCCAAGAGACATGCGTCCCACTCTTTTTATTTTCCGGTCTTCTTAATGTCCACCTCCTCTACGACGTATTAATCAACCGAGACCAAGATTTTGATCGCTTCCTAGACCAACTGGTGAGCAGTTTCCGACTACATCGCGGGATCCGTGCCATCACCGCAAATTCATGGGGTATGCTTCGGGAGTCTTCGCTGAAGGCACTCATTCTGGACAGTGAGAGACGGTTCTCAAGTATTACGGGACTTGACCCCGAATGTGCAAAGCTTTTAACCCTCATCAAGGCGGCCAAACTAGGCCCCTCTATCACCAATACCTATAAGCAAGCAATAGAATCGCTGCAGCACGCGATGGTTACATGCTTGTATGGGAAGCAAGGCGCTAATGTCACCGAGATTACTGCCTGGCCGACATTGGTTTCTCCGGAATATCTCGATTTTCTCACGATGCGATACCCTGAAGCTCTTGTGGTACTAGCGTACTATGCCGCTTGCCTGCATACACGGCGCGACGTGTGGGGTTTTGGGGACGGTGGGCGATTTCTGGTCGAATCCATCATCAAGTACCTAGGACCAGAGTGGGCCGAGTGGCTGGATTGGCCGGTCCGAGTTCTGGACGATCATCATCAGAACTCGCAACGAGTTGAGAGTTGAATCAAACGATACGAAGACAACGGTATTGTTGTTGTCGGTACAGTCATAGCATCCATGGCTCAATGCGCGAAGGAAGTTTCCATCCAATTCAGATCCAGGACCTGGGGCTAGCCGAATGGAGGATAGTTGGACATCACCTGCCCGCTTTCCTCTTTGAGCCCGTCGCCCACGACTACCTATAGTACGGTGAGTCGTGAGGTTCAACTGCCTCAATGGTAGTAGTAGTATGTATACGGCCAGGATGAGTTTGAAAAGTGATGTATTGATGGGGAGGTACAATGACCAACCCTCCAAGATAATGCTACTGAACAATATATGAGACATGACAGGCTCGGTCGGAGAATCTTACATTCTACGCCGTGCAGCAAAGGAACCCAAATTGTTTCGGCTGGACATGAAAATACAACGCCGCCCAGTTTAATTCTTGCATTCTTTGTTCCCCCGTCCCTTGTCCTAACCCAGTCAATGCATAGATGTAATCCCAACTGAACCCCAATATGTAGTACAGGAAGCGGAAGATATGCAAGGCAGACAAGAGCAATAGGGAAGTAAGATTTCGTGAAAAGCGAATCGAGGAAATTCAGAACAAACGTAAGACATTGGTCAATGTCATGAAACCGTACACGAGCAAGGAGGAAAGAAATGACGGAGAAGGGAAACAGAAAGGTAACATTTTTTTCAGTTCAATACAGCATCATGAAGGCAACCTTGCATAACAATTCGAGTCCAAAGGAAAAAAAAAGTAAAAAAAATGAAAAGCCAGCCAAGCTCCCACGGAGAGTAGAGATTACACACTTGAGAGTGACATAAAATAACAATCAACGAATTATAGAAAGCTTTTGAGTCAGGGTAACCACCCCCTGAGCCAAATAGGGATTCCGTCATTCGGGAAAAATGCAACGTCATCATCATTTAGTGACCATAATTGCCTCCCCAGCCACCGCGACCAGTGTTGCCATAATAATTAGCGAAGCCGGCGCCGCCGTAGTTACCGTAGCCAGTAGCCTGGTGGTGGGTTTGAGTGGCTGCACCCTGGTGTCCACCAAGTCCACCGAGACCCCCATACTGAGGGTTCAGGTGAGGATAGGTGCCAAAGCCCTGCTGACCCTGCTGGCCTTGCAGAGGGGGAAGGCCAGTTTGTGCCTGAGGCTGACCTGGTACGCTGTTGGTTGCGGAGCCAGGGCGGTTAGCCTGAGCCAGGGAAGGACTGGGTCCAGAGGCCTTGGGCGTGTCAAAGGTCTTAGTTTCCTCCGTAGTCACTGGGGGCTGCTGAGAAATGGGCTGATTCTGCCCGAAGCCACCCTGGGAGCGACCAAAGACGTCCGACATGCCCGATCCGAAGGTGTTCGAGCCGGCTGCAGACTGCTGGCTCTCCGATGGTTGGGCAGATCCGGTACGGCCGTAGACGGTGTCACGGCCCGGCATGGCTTGTGTAAAGCTGCCGGTAGTTGCGGGCGACGAAGAGTGGTCGTAAGAGAAAGCGTGAGGCTGGCCGTACATTCCAGCCTTGCCATACGGACCATACTGGCTTCCATAGCCATACTGGGCCGTGTGAGGCATATAGTGGTCGTCGTATCTGCGAGCATCATCATACATCGGGCGGTTGCGGCCATATTGGTGTCCGCTCATCTGACTCATGTACGAAGCATAGTGGGGGTTGGAGAAATAAGGGTATCCATATCCGTAGGTATGAGCGCCCTGGCCGGGCATATGCTGTGCAGTCGGAGTCTGAGTAGCACCGGGAAGGGTGGGGTTGGGGGTGTTGTGACCACTGTTGGGTGCGTCAACATGGCCATAGCGGCTGGGAGGCTGAGTAGTAGGGATATGGGGCTGCACTTCCGCGCCCGAGACGCCAAATCCGGCGGCGGCTCTCTGGGCTACGGTAGCATCCTGGGACTGGCCATAGGTGCCATAGTAGTTGTAAGGGAGCCGCTGGTCGACGGCGTAGAAGGGAGAATACTCGCTGCCAGTAGTTACGGTCGGCTGGACGGGAGCTTGGTTGGCGAATGGTTCTTGGATCTGAGGCTGAGGTTGGGTCACCTGCTGGCTGAAGGGGTCGTAGGGCTTGTGAGCATCGGTGTAGCGGGCGAAGTCGTTGAAAGAGGAGTCGGCAGCAGAGGCTTGAGGAACGGGGGGGAGTCCAGGGGCTGGGCGAGAGACAGCGGGGCTCTCGGTCGAAGCCTGGCCTTGGGTAGAAGGAGGCAAGGAGGCACGAGGAGCCACGGGAGAGTGTTGAGGGGGTTGGGCACGAGTTTCAGCATCTTCACGGTTCTCATCAATATCGACATCAGCAGCATCGCCGTTCAATCCCATGCTGCCGAACTGCACTGCAGCCCGGTCGACAGCATGGTTTCCTGGCATGACAACTGCTTCTTGTTGTTCCATCACACGGCGCTGGGCACCGGCAGCGCGAACACTCTGTTTAAGCGCACTGGTGGGGTAGGCAGGTGCAGGTCGTGTGGGTGTTGCGGCAGCTGCAGCATTGTTAGCATCAAGGGCGCTGCCCACGGTGCTAGCAGCGGTGGCTGTGGGAGCCGGGGGAGAGACGTCGGGGATCTGCGCAAGATTCGTCCTGGTCAAATCATCCTTGGGGGCTGCAACTTCAGGAGCCGGGGCGGGCACAGCAGGTTTTTCGAGAGGTTGAGGGATAACAGGCTCAGGCGCCTTCTCCATAGGAACCGGAACCGGAGGCGGAATCGGGACGGGTGCAGGCTCAGGCGCCTTCTGCTCTTTCTGTTCTTTCTGCTCGTTCTGTTCCTTCTGCTCGGGCACTGGTTCGGCAGCAGGCTTCTCGGGAACAGGGGCGGCAGCGGCAGCGGGGGCAGGCACAGGCGCAGGTGCAGCAGCGGCAGCAGGAGCTGGAGCCGGGGCTGGTACTGGAGCGGCAGCAGCAGGTTTCTGCTGGGGAGGAGGAGGTGCCGGTTTCGCGAACAAGCTTGCCCAACCCTTCTTGGTACCCTCGGGGACCACAGTGGGCTTCGGTACACTCGAGGCGTCGACTGGTTCAGGAGCTGTAGGTTCAGCATCGGTCGGCTTCTCAGTCTGGGTGACCTCGGGGGTAGCTGTCTCCACTGTGGTAGGAGCAGCGAGCTTCTCTGGACGGCTGCCATTGGTGTGGGCACCAGCACGACCGCCACGACCGCCACGACCACGATCTCCACGAGCACGTCCACCACGGCTCTCAAATCCACCACGTCCACGGCCTCCTCGAATGGGAGCAGTAGTCGACTCGGTCGGGGTGCTCTGGGCCTCCTTTGGCTTGGGGCGGCTCCGGTCTGTAGTCTTCTTCTTTACCTCACCCCACTGAGAAACGTTACCTATATCACGACAAAAACCGATGTTAGTCCAGCTGTGTGACAAGAAATCACAGATTGGATCGAGATCGACGGCGAACCTTCAGTTATGCGATCAATTGCCTCCTCGAGGTCGCCGTCTGCATCCTCCAACGCAAAGACAAGATCCTCGTCCGTCCAGTCAGGGAACAATTCCTTTAGCATGGGTAGAGTGTTTGCATATTTCTTCTTCATCTGACCAATTTCTCCCTCGTCTTCGAATGTAGCGGGCGTGCTATCTGAGTTGTCTGCCTTTGCAGATCTGCTGCCACCTCGACCACCTCTGGAGCTATAGCCACCGCGACCGCCGCGAGCGGATACCCTGCCACGAGAGGCAGAAGACCTCGTTTGAGCTTCAGACATATCTTCTGATGGGGGAATCTAGTAAATCTCCGGATTGGAGAAAAGAGAGTCGAAGGAGAATCGAGGAAGACCCAACGGGGGTTTGGACGAAGGGGGTGTGGAAAACAAGGTGCGGCTAGTGGGAAGAAAAAGCGGGTAAAAAGAGGCAATGATCACAGATGCAGCCTCACGGAAGAGGTCAGCAACTAGAACCACAGAGCGCACACAAGGACCGCCCGAACTCGATGCGGCGGTTCCAGAGGGGGCGAGAGAGTCCAGGGAGGGGAGGAGAGAAAAGAATTGAAGGAAAAGAAAAAACGAACAAAAAGGGAAAAAAGAAGTCCAAAGGGAGCTAAAAGAGGATGAGCATAAATTATATGGAATAGGGAACCAAATGGAGAGGGAAGAAGGAATGGGAAGAGTTTTGAGTGAGAGGTCTAAGTACGAGTTTAGGTACAGTTGAGTCCGACCGACGTGTTGGAACCCACTGCAGGGAGGGAGAGAGACCCTCCAGGCAACTTTGTCGCCCATTTAGCGAACGGCGCTAACCACCAGCCGTTTCGTTGGTTGGACGATCCGAGCGGCGTCCGTGACTTGCACTGGAGCCTTTCGCCTTAGTGTGCCGCTTTTTAAAGGCGACGCTGCTTGCTCCCGGATCTGTTACCTGGAGGAGAACCCTTCTCAGTCCGGCATTTCGTCATCCATTTTGGTTTTTTCTCTCGTCGAGATCCAATCGATTATACACTTTTTCCTCCTCCCTCTCTATTTTTTTTTGGTACGAAGATTACCGGACTCGTACCGTGTGTATACGTATCTATACAAATCTTCTACCCCTACAGTGCCCCCCAGTCGGAGTCTATTGACCCTTTGAGGATCTTCTCGTTCCATTCCTCGCATTCCTCACCGCCCCCCCTGGCACCACCTGAGGTATCTACCAAAGGGAGAGCGAGAGAGGGCACGATTATTATCGATAGTATATGACACTACCGGTTCACCATTGTTTGCCCCCTTCCTTCCTCTTGCCGTCATGAAAGGCACGTCGAGTCTGAGCTTGAAGGCATGGTCGAAAATCCACCCCCCACTACCCCGTACCCCCCGGGAATCTCAACAACTCCTCAAAGCCCTTACGTCTTCCTTCCGTCGTCAGCTCGATCGGGAATACCCCCCCTCGGTACCCTCCGATCGAGATGCATCTAATGATCGTACACCGGAGAACCCGCACTCGTCTGTGCACGCGACCGATCGACATCTCCGGGCCATCCTGGAAAATCCGCTGTTCCGGGTAGTACCCTCCAAGTCTGCTGCGGCTCGTAATGGAAGTGGACCAGCCAGTAGACTACAACAGAGAATAGCGAAAGAACCAATGGTGGTTTTTGATGAATTGGTTGCCTCAGGTTCGGTAACCCTGCCAACACTACGTGACTGCTTGAGCTCCCAGATGCTACTGGCAAGCCGTCATATCGGAAGCGGCCTCATACAGGCCATGAAAGACGCTAGGGCTGGATCCAAGGTTGTCAGTTGGTGGTTTGCATCTGATTCCACGACAAGACAGATGTTATTCAAATCCCGAGCAGCGACCACAACTCTAGTAAAGTTCTTAGTGGCAGAAGGTCGGCAGGGTGTGGTGTTGGATTGGCTGAGGATGCTGGCGGACCACGATATTGGAGGCCGGAATGGTCAGTTACCAGAGAAAATTGCGCAACAGGTGTTTGGCCATCTACTGGTCAACTTAGTGACCGCCGAAATCCAGTACGGTCAAGGGTTGGGCTTGGCTATGCGGTATTACCTACAGACATGCAAGTCGCAGATGCTCAAAGACAACGCGGTTCTGAACCCTTCCTGGCAACCTGTGTTCCTTCCAGCAGGCGTTCACTTATGGGAGAGCTTGATGCGGAGTTCACCGTCCAGATCCAAAGAGCTTGACGGAGCTATGTACAACGAGTATATCGAAGTGCTTTCCAGACTCGCACCGAAATCGTTTCTGGTAGCTACAGCTCCGCTGTATCACCCTACACACCCTGATGCTAAACCATTCCTCGATTTTGTGGATACACTACCTCCTGGCCGGGTGGACTCTTCGACAGGACTGAAACGAGAAAGCTTCATGCGTGCCGGCTTTGACGCTCTTCGTCTCTTGGTGGACCAAGACAAGCGACGGGATGTCTTATACCTGGCACGTTTCTTGCAACAGCAGTTACCCGAAAAAGTGGACTCAGAAAATACATCCAAATCAAATCACCGCGCTTACACAGAGAGGGAAGATTTACTATCACAACTTGACTTGGCATTGGCTTGATATGCGTAACCATTGCTATTGACGGCGAAGCGGCATATTCTGTAAAGCGGTGGCCGTCTGGCCCCAGGCTTAGGGTGATATTTTTCATTTATGTGCCTTTCATCTTGGGTTTAAGATCTCTACGGGGTATGCAGGCAACCTAGGTAGTAGGCAAATGATTCGTCAATCTGGATCTGCAGGTGACAATCGGGTTTACCATTATCCAGGTGGATGGCGTACCCGAAACACGCTACTATGAGGAGAACTCCGCATTATTTTGCTCCACTCAGTCACGCTAATGGGTCTCCTTCTCCTCTTCTTGGCACGCTTACATATCATGACGGGCAACACAATCAGTGCAGGGAAGGCTTATGTGCGCCTCGAGCTGATCCTCGGGGTAATTTAATATGCCATTTTCTAATTGGTGTTTTGCTGACGGAACAGCCCAAGATTGAGTTCCGTGTGGAACGGGTTAGCGCGCTGGCATGAGATGGTCTTAGTAAATGTCACCGCGCAACCTCACCTCTCAACCTCCTGTGACCTTCTATCCTCCCTCCCATCACTCTACAAGTGGTTCTCACCCCAGTAGACCGCCACTTAGCGATTTTCAAGGTCGCTTGCTCCTTGCGATCACACTCCAATTAGATTTGGCTCACCTAAAATCGCTGAAAGTATCTTTCATCCGCGCCTGTCCACACCATTTCTCATTATGGCTCCTGAGCCAGATAGCAGCGTCAACCTACCACCAGCCCCAGGTATGTCTAGAAGGCGGTACATATGTCACACCTGATGATGACATCATCGCCAATGCCCATCTCACCTAGCTACAGCGAAATATATCGGGCTCAGGCTGATTCTTGAAGTAGAAGCGGGTATTACATCTGGCGCTGGCACAGACAACAACACGACCGATGTTGCTTCCAAGCAAACCAATGGTGATAGCACTCCGGCCAAACCTGTGGATGCGGACGACCAATCGAAGGAGAAGAAGTCTCCCGAAGCGACCGAGTCTTCCAAGGAACACAAACCCGCTGAAGAAGCCAAGTCTAGTGAGCATGCTTCTATCCTATCAGATGCTGGACCCAAGGAGTCAACTGCGGAGAGTAGTATCGCGCAACCTAGTGCAGGCGATAAACGAGAGCATAAACCGGCCTCTACGCCCGCCAGCGCAGCTAATTCTAATGCTGAGAACCCGACGGAGCCCGCAAACAAAAAGCAGAGGACTGCTGGAACGCGGGCTCGGAATGGCAATACTACAGCACCTGCTACGAATGGGGAAAAAGCAAAGGCAAGTCGTTCTAAAAAAGCGAAGGATTATGTGAAGAAGGTAATTCCTACGGATGGTATTGGTAGTCGAACACGCAGCCGGACTAAGGCATCCTCCTAAGCTCCGACGGTATCGCCGCGAACATACCGTCGCATTCCGCAGAGCTCACATACGTTTTTCACTCTACGTCCCTCTTGATCCAGTTGTCTAGCAGGTCCAATGTATGCGCAAAACTCTATGTTCGCTAGCTAAGTTCTATTTCTCCGGATCTTGTAAAGCTCTAGCTTGTGAATGAACCGATTTTCTATAATGCTACATGGAACCAGCTATTGCCTGGGAAAAATTGAAATAGATGTTCTTTCTTCTAGAGACAATGACATGATGTAGAAGGGAATGAATGAATGGTGATGATATGGCCTGCTTAGTAGACTTATAGAAACTGGCAGTATCATTAACCTTCAATCTTCGGGGATGCCCACGGTCCCACAAAGTACTACCGACATCGGCTAAGACTCTCTGGGTTGAGTCACCACTCCCGGAGCGGGAGAACATCCGATGTCCCTCCCCCACTATCACTAGACGGGAAAGTCTGTGTCATACCCATGAGATAAACTATCTACTATCTTTATAAGCATACGCTGGGCAATTGTGAAATTCTTCATTTTCTCTCCGCAACATATCGGTCGGGGAACTGTCAATTGACCTTCACATACAATGTCTTCCAACAAGATCTGGCTTCGTGCTGAAACCAAGCCCGCCGAGGCTCGGTCTGCTTGTAAGTAGCGTGGGAGGAGTCATTTGCTATCTGTCATTATGCTATTGCCAGCAATTATGACATATAAATGCTAATTCCTCGCAGTGACCCCAACTACTGCCAAGGCTCTTATGGATGCTGGCTATGAAGTGACTGTAGAACGCTCTACACAGCGAATCTTCGATGGTAGGTGGTCAATCAAAGCTCCACTATCCAGGGTGTGAAGGCTGACTAGGCTCGTCCTTAAACTAGATGAGGAATTCGCAAAGGTACATTTACACGTTCGCCCTGCTCCCTAATTGTCTAAAGACTTACAAACGCCCGGTGGAATAGATTGGTGCCCCACTAGTTGAGGAGGGATCCTGGGCCAAGGATGCTCCCAAGGATGCATACGTTTTGGGTCTCAAGGAACTGCCCGAGGACGATTTTCCTCTTGAACACGTCCATATTACCTTTGCCCACTGCTACAAGAAACAGGGAGGCTGGGAGAAGGTTCTCAGCCGGTGGCCTCGTGGAGGCGGAACCCTCTTGGATTTGGAGTTCCTCACTGATGAAGTTGGACGGAGAGTTGCTGGTGAGAACCCATTGTCCACGATCGTTTGCTATACGGCTTGTATAATTACTAACTTTCCCATCCATAGCTTTCGGCTGGTCGGCCGGTTATGCCGGTATGTGCTTTTCCGCTTTGAAGCGCTGATAACCGATATTGATGCAGTATAGGTTCCGCATTGGCCGTGAAGAACTGGGCTTGGCAATTGACTCATCCTGAGGGCGAGCCTTTGCCCGGTGAGGTTCCGTACGCTAACCAGGAGCTCCTGACTCAGTCCGTGAAGGAGTCCCTGGAAGCTGGCAAGAAGCAATCCGGCCGGTCCCCCAAGATTCTTGTCATCGGAGCTGTGAGTGTGCTTTTTGTATTGGACCCCACGGCAAGATAACTGATAATGTGCAGCTTGGACGTTGCGGCAGCGGTGCTGTACAACTTGCCAAGGATGTTGGTATCCCCGAATCTGATATCATCCAGTGGGATATCGAGGAGACGAAGAAGGGTTCGTTTATACTTTCACTTTGACAAACTTGATGTTAACTCGTCAAAATAGGCGGTCCTTTCCAGGAGATTGTCGACGCAGATATCTTCGTCAACTGCATCTATCTTTCCAGCGAGTCTATTCCCGCATTTGTCAACGTTGCATCTCTCTCTACCCCTAACCGCCGTTTGTCTGTCATTTGTGACGTGAGCGCTGATACGTGAGTACCGCTTCTGATAATTGCCCTTCTCACCTGTGCAGCCTACTGACTTCACCCTTGATGCAGCACTAACCCCAACAACCCTATTCCCGTGTACGATATTACCACCACTTTTGACAAGCCCACAGTGCCTGTCACCCTGCCGGCGGGAACGCAAGGCCCCCCTCTTAGCGTGATCAGTATCGACCATCTCCCCTCGCTTCTCCCTCGTGAAAGCTCCGAGATGTTCAGTCAAGCACTGCTTCCTAGTCTGTTGCAGTTGAAGGATCGGAAGAACGCTCGCGTCTGGACGCAAGCAGAAGATCTGTTCCAGAAGAAGGTTGCCACTTTGCCATAGATAATTTCGAACAAAAAGCAATTTGGCAGGGAATTCTGCGTACGGTCTCCAGCGATGCTGTGGAACGGTTCATGAAAAAGTCTATCTATATACCATGTCGTTAATTTTCCTGGACGAATCTATAAATAGATAACATATGCCAGAATAAGTTGTCTCAACACTTGTGCAAAATCCAATCTAGATTGACCGCATTGCCTCTATCATTTCTTACAGTCGAAGGGTAGCCCACTGATGGAGATATATCGGGAGAAAGTTGGAAAATGACAATGGGTTAGCGGGAATGGTCCATTCCCCGCAGAATATCTTCTCGCACTACGAATGAACTCCTGCTGATCATGAACACATAGTGTACTGATCCCCTTTGGCGTCGTCATTTCTCAACTTCAGAGGGGGGGTGGGGGGTGTTCCTTAGTATTCCTAGGGTAGAGTAAAATACTTAGTTTTACGACTAGTTTTCCGAAAGATATGCTTGCATTCCATTCAGTATGAAATTCCCCAACCATGGGGAGAGAGCGGAACGATACGGGAGAACGACAAGGGTAAAACTGCCAGTGTCGTGTGGGGGATCCCCCGAAAGTTACATACGGAGTCCAGTACCTAGTACGTACTGTATACTACGGACCTAGTATGTAAGTTAGTCCTGTCGGGTTCGGCGTTGATGAACTTCCGGCCACTAAAAAGGTCCCTCCGGCAAATCAAACAAACATTGTCCAGTGGGCTTCCCTTCTTATAATGGCCCTCAATTATTCCCTTGTCGTGATGACAATGCAGATGAGACCCGTCAAATGGTCATGGATACCTGAACCCAAAGATCTTTAAATTGCATCATTCCTGTAAGTTTTCTAACCCCAATGATTGGCCACTCCCAATCCTTCTGTCTTTCTTTACCCCATTCTTCTCCACATCCTCGGGTTTATGGGGAAAAGAAAGGCAAAATTGAAGAGACAGAGCTGACACTAATCTCTCCCGGTATAGCCGATGGGAGCGATCCTCGACCTCCACACCAGCTCAATTTACACATTGGGCGGCGTATTTACCCCGACGCAACTCCGTTATCGCCTTCCTCTACACTCTCTCGGTTGAAGCGGAAGATTACAGGGATTTAGGCATTCCCCATCCGCCAGGTTCCTGGTTCGGTAGAGGACCCCCGCCCAGGATTCATAGCACGACCATCCATGGAGCAGCGATAGGCGAACTTTGGTTCTTCTAAGAGACGTGCGACCTGTTGCTAGCCATCAATTTCCGGCCCTTTTCTCCTATATATAGTTGATGCAAGAAAAATCAACCACCGTCGCCGCATATGCGGCTGGCGCCTCCCTCGCCGCTGTCGCCCTCTTTTACGTCTTCGGACCCAACTACACAATCGATGGGGATGAGTCAAGTGATAGCAACCGTAAAAAAAGCATTGTTGGCCTATCCAATCCCGCCAATGATTGCTTCATCAACTCGGTCTTGCAGGCGCTTGCTGGCCTGGGTGACTTGCGTGTTTATCTGATTAGAGAACTCCATCGGCGTGAGCTGGATGGACCGGAGGTCTATAACTCTCTACCAGATGTAACAGAGCTCGCCGGCGGTAAGAAGGCGGAAAACATCCGGGAGTTGCAGCAGGGCACGATCACCCGAGCTTTGAAAGAGATGTTAGACCGTCTGAATGAGCGCCCGATTTACAAGAAGACAATTTCAGCGCGTCCATTCATCCAGGCTCTCGAATACGCATACCGGACCCGGATTAGCCGTAACCAACAGGATGCACAGGAGTTCCTGCAAATCGTCGCCGAACGGCTTTGTGATGAATACCATGCCGGTGTCAAAGCCCGACAGAGACTACAGGGGCCCATTGACATACCCACAGGCTCGGAAATTTCACAAAGTACCGAAGATGTCACATCCGCCAAGAGCCCATCTGAGGTTGAGGTACGCATTGATGACGGATCCGAGAACGGCCTGCCGGCAATCATCGATACCAAACTCAAGGAGATCGACAACGAGTATGGGTTTCCGTTCGAGGGGAAGCTCGAGTCGCAAATTGAATGTCAATTCTGTCATTATAAGTACAAGCCCAACCAGACCTCGTTTGTCAACTTGACGTTACAAGTGCCGCAGAAGAGTTCCACCACACTCAGCGCGTGTTTCGATGGCCTCCTCAAGACCGAACACATCGACGATTTTAGGTGTGACCGATGTCGTCTGCAACATGCAGTCGAAGTGAAAATGCAAGAGCTGAAGCAAACACGCGGGGCCAAAGAGCAGCAGGTCCTCCAGACCGAAATTCAAAAATTACAAGACGCTTTGTCAACAGATCCAGAGGGCCTGCTGGAAGGCGTTACTCTTCCACCCGCAGAGGCTGCTCCCAAGCGAAAGATTGCACGCCATATGCGCATTACGGTCTTCCCTAAGATCATTGCAATCCATCTCTCACGGTCTATATTCGACCGCAGCAGTTCCACCAAAAACGCGGCAAAGGTGGCATTCCCTGAACGACTTCCGCTGGGGGGTATCCTGAATCAAAAGTGGTTCAAACTGCTGGCGATTGTTTGCCACAAAGGCAGTCACAACAGTGGCCATTACGAATCATTCCGACGAAACCATCTCTATCCGCCTTTCTCGACACCGGATGTCTTCAGTTCGTATGCACAGAGCCGAGCTACAAGTGAGAATCCATCGCAAGTACCAAGCCCTCGCATGGGGCCTCGTTCCTTAGATGCAGAGCCTCCAGCTCTTAGTATCTCGACCTCAACCTCGCCATCTTCTTCGTCTCTTTCTCCGGCCCCGTCGCGATCCCCGTCGAGAAAGAAGTCCCCTACAGCTGCATCTCAATTGAATCCTCCGGCATCCCCGGCTCCCCGGCCAAGCACGTCATCGAGCTCACGTGTGTCTTTCCAAAGTAGCCGCACCAAATCCAAGCAGAATCTGTCTCCGACCTCGGATCCCCAGAGTCCTGCAACTGACGGTGGACGCTGGAGCAAGTCCAGCTCGCGCCCATCATTTATGAGCGATCGCATAACTCCCGGTACTTCTACTGAGACTTTCACTGGGCCCACTTCGCGTCTCCGTCGTCGTCGTAAGGCAAACGATCGATGGTGGCGGATCTCGGATGAGAAGGTTAAGGAATGTAAGACGTCGGACGTTCTGGGTATGCAAAAAGAGGTCTATCTCCTATTCTACGAGATGGAGAAGCCAACCAGTGGCCCACAGGGTTCATAATCGCCTGACGAGAAGCTAAAGGCTGGTCCTGGGCATCAGACGGCAGTTTCTTTGCATGGGGTGCGTGGAAAGGTCCAGTGTACACATCTTTTCCAATCGAGGCTCCGCGCACCACTCATTATTTTCTATATAGTACTCAGACGACACTGCGCTTTGCTTGCGGGATCTGAGCCCGGCCAGGGTAGTCTGAGCTGATCACCGAGCGTTATGTATATTCGGTGTTGGGAAATGTAACGTAGATATATACATCTCGATAGATACGGAAAATTTTATCTCACTTGGGTAACCCTGTGTCGCTCGGCCTCATGTTACTCTTGACTTCTAGAGCGCCTGCTATCGTTCTATTCCCTTTCGTATGCAACCAAATTCCAGTGACATGGATGATACATTACCGGAGTAGTCTTGCGTTTTTCTTAGGAACGATCATAGATTGAGATTGCCTCCCAGGTCAAAAACGACTATCGACTGACAGGCGAAGAGCGTACTCCAAGTAAATCATAGCGCCTTGATCGACTGGTGCTCGGGCACTCGGGCGTTTTCATTGTGTACCTGCTAACGACAGGGTTTCTTTGTTGTGCCACGGTATGTACATCAACACGGTATTTGTGGCATTTCTATTATTATAAGACCCCAACCCAACCAGTCAGAATGAAAATGCCGCCGCATTGTTTGCTACATGCCGGCCGTCGTGAGATTCACCCATACAGGCAACCACTTTCCCTTAACGGATGTTCACACCCTACGCTTGAGAGAACCTTTTTGATGGTGACTATGATTAACCAGAGGACTGATTTACCCTTCGCTGACAATCCACCTCGGCCTGCACGTACTGCAATATGGATCGGACGAATTACCTCATGGGTTCAACGGCCTAAATCCTTCAAAAGTACTGCCAAAAGGACAAAGAGGAAGACGCTTAGGAACCGCATCATACTATATATTCTCATCAGTTTAAGCGTAGTTGGACTTGCATTGATGTACGTATCCTGTCTGTCCTCACCTGAAATACACACTCATTGGCTTATAATCATCAACAGAGTATGGTTCTCACTGGTTCTAGTACTCATCGCCCGACTCACTCCAACTGAGCCACACAACGGGCTGTCCCAGATCACCAAGACGTGGAAAAAGCCGTCCGACTCTGTTTCATTACTCTCTCCTTGGCCCACTGACTGGAGCCAAGGCGTTACTCCAATCCCATGCCATTCCCACAATGACTACTGGCGCCGGGTTCCTCTCTACGATGCCCTCGCAGCTGGCTGCACAGGCGTCGAAGCAGACATCTGGCTCGAAAGCTCCTCTCAGGACCTACTTGTGGGTCATGCGAAGCGGTCGCTATCGTCAAGTCGTACACTGAAAGCTCTCTACATTGACCCATTGGTGGAGATCCTTTCACAACAGAACCCCAATAGCGTAGACGCGCCTCCTTCAACGCAGCCAAGCGGGGTCTTCGATACAAGCCCCAACACAACCCTCGTACTGTTAGTTGATATGAAAACGGACGGAAGGAAGACTTGGCCTGTCCTAATGAAGAGTCTGGAACCACTGCGCTCCCGAGGCTGGCTTACGTACTGGAATCGCACCGCTAAGGCCTTCGTGCCACGCCCAATAACCGTTGTCGGTACAGGAAACACGCCTTTTGATCTAGTCACGGCGGTGTCCAATAATCGAGATGTATTCTTCGATGCTCCGCTGGATAGGTTGACTAGAAATGAGATATTTTCCCGTGGGACCTCGTACTACGCGAGCGTTTCACTGAACCAAGCGGTAGGGAAGATCTTTCTTTGGGGGCCTAGCCAGCGCCAGAAAGAGGTGATTCGGGATTTGATTGAGGCGGCAGCGGAGAGGGGGCTAGTCTCGAGATTCTGGGATATACCTGGGTGGCCGGTTGCATTACGGACGAAGCTGTGGAATATTCTAGTTGAAAGTGGAGTCGGGATGCTAAATGTGGATGATTTGAAGCATGCCCGCCGGTGGAATTGGAACTGGTGTGTTGTTGCTGGGTTGGTGCTTTGTTGACTTGGACATATATTTGTCTAGATTTCTTATCTTTGTTGATCATTGGCATCATGTCTACGAATGAATGAATCCGTCACGACAAATCCAAATTTCATCTATTGATAGAGCAGTTCTCGATAAGTACTTAAAGGAGCACTCGCTCACACGAGAATTCCTCCACCATGTGTTGATATGATTGCTCCGGTCAATCCACGATCCTTCATACAGTATATATAAGCTTCTGCCACATTCTCAGGCGTTGGGATCTCTTTGATGGGCAATTTCTCCTTTAGATGGGCGAACATCATCTCTTTTTCCGGAATGGTGTCCCACAGCTCAGTATCAATGGGACCAGGACTGACGAGGTTAACCCTGAGCGGCGCAATATCTAAGCAGAGGTTCTTTGCGAGCCCGTACAGGCCTGTCGAGTACATGGTATGCATAGCCATCCCCTGTCCCATGGGCCTCTCGGCCGTGGCTCCACTGGTGAGTGTGATGGAGCAAGCGGGCGAGTTGCTTGCCATATACTTCGGCGCATGCTTGGCGATGAGGAACGGGGCGATAACGCGGACATTGGCAGTGTTTCGGATTCGGTCCAAGTCGGATCGAGGCTGCGTCCAGTCTTCCGAATCAAACTTGAACGTTCCCGCTGTGAAGATGATATGGTCCAGCGGCTGCATTTTCTCGAACGATGACACCAGTTGATCCTCGACGTCTGGCGCTCCGAGGTCAATCGGTAAGCCGCGGACTCGGTTCTTGGCCTCGGGATAGGATGCTACAAGGCGCGCTTGGGCAGCGTCCACTTTGTTCGAGTCGGAGGAGAGGATCGTAACGTTGGCGCCATGCTCGATGCTGGCTTCAGCTACACAGAAGCCGACGCCGGAGGTCCCTCCGAAGATGACAATGTGTTTGCCATGCAGCTTGTTCACGTATTTGTTTCTTGCAGCCATTCTTGGTCAGTGGGAGAGTGAGGGAAGTCAATGAGTAGCGTACATGAGCTTTAATTGTACAAGGTAACACAGCTTAACCTGGACTGTGAGTGTGCTTTTATATCTACTTTTGCGCCAAGTACTCTCTGCCTGGCAAAGTCGAATCACAGCGCCATGAGGCATGCGTCTTGATTTCTAAGCAGTGAGGGGTTCAACTCGAGTTGGTCCACAAAGGAGGCGGCCCTCCAGCTATCCTCTTCCTCTAGCTTGAATCATCTCCTATCAAACAATCCTGGCCACCTTTCTATGTACTGAGCCCCCGCCATCGCCTGCCTAATTCGGATTTCCCGCTTATGTAAGTAGGGCAAAGGCACACAGGTTCGACCCATGCACTTCTTCGGGACGAAAGATGCAGAACTTCAGTGGCTGAATCACTAGAAACTCGGCTATCGGATCATCTCGCATCATCTTCTGCTCCTGAGAGAGCATAAGCAGTATGTGGTGAATGAGTCCACAGCTTCGTATACGGCACACGAACTATAGAAACATGGTCGATAGACCAGTCGAGTTAGCTTTCCGAGAGCTTCTTTGGCAGCTCCACAGTTGCCTTCACCCATGCCTTTTCAGGCTAGCTTTGTGAATTAGTGCTCATCTTTGTTCTTCTATACCTCAACCATGAGAAGGCTTTGCTGTCGTTTTTCTGCTCTGTCTTTGGTTCCACTGTGAATCCATGCAAAGGGTGGCTTTTCTGCGGCAAATGCATTCGATGAGACTATGTGGAAACGGTATCCTTTCACTGTAAACGCATGATGTAGGAGATACTCGATCGCTATGGATGCAATTGAGACGGAGGTAACCGCAGGGTTGAAGGAACAGTGCTCATTTTATATATACAACTTTATTAGAATTCTAGAATTGAGTTTGTGGGGAACCTGACGAGTCAAAATGTGAGTCCCCTAAGGCTCTAGAAGGCCTTCATTATCAAGTCGCAAAAGATGCAAATCTCGTCAAAAGTTGTCGCAATCGCCGCTAATCGCCACTGTGTTGACTGGTAGGTTCAGGAAGAGTGTATGGGGAAGGATGCACAACTCCCGCCCGTACTTGCTTCGTATCATCAACGTGGACATCAGTCGGAATTCCACTAGCTATTTGGAGGGACTTTCAGTACCGAACAAGATCAGATTGGATTGAAGTGTATGCTTTTTGGTCACAGGTTGGTTGACCCGGAAGCCTGCAGCCGTCTTGCCCTACATATAAAACATAAACATACTATTCTGAACTGGTATCTGCCAACAGACGAAGTTCGGATTTGATACTGAGAGAACAGGAAAAATGAAGTCTAGTCGTCAATCTAAAGTACATATGCCTACACAAACTATTTTGTTTGGGAGCCTCCGTTAATGAAGCTTCCCCGGTCAGATATCAAAGTACCACTGCTATCATGTCGGCTCCGGTTATTGCCCATGACGTTCCTACCTGCATGCCGGTCTATCAATTCACATCTTTACCAAGGAATCAGGATCCACTAGCCTGTCAGAACAAGCATACGACACCATTGGTGAGATGTAAAAATGCTGATGATCGTTGTCGGGCTATACATCGTGGATGAAAGTTGAGGCCACTTATCTGGCAGTTACCCTACCGAACGGCACACGAGACGTGACACAGAGCACTTCTTCAGGCAGGGAAGATAGGATGTATGCTTGAACCCAGGGAGATACGTCTTCTTATTCAAGTCGTTCATTTGTATATACCGTAGTTCTGATGAACAGATGCATTGACCTGCTATACAAGCCATTTAAACGAGATAATTACTGGGCAATCATAGCTAGACGTCAAAGATGGCAGCCCAGATCTGTTATAAGACAAGATCGGCTTCTTTTGTCATATCATGTCCTCAAGTACCGATCTGGACCGAGGGCTACATGTTCGATGAAGAGGCGACTAACCTAGGGCTAATCTAGCCTATTCAAGGGCTTGGAGCATAACTTAAGCAGACATGGTTCGATCAGAATTTAACGCTACCTCCTCAGATCAATTGAGAACGATGAAGTGAGTTAGTATCCCACCAGTTCATTACGCATCTCTTCTGGCGTATTATGCAATCTATGGCCCCATCCTGACCGCTTGCGGCTTGCATTGGGGACAAGTTAATCACAAAATCTCTAGTGTCATTCTGGTCAATGAGATTTACATTGTGAATCGGATCCAAATGTATGTATTCGGACGGGCATTGATTCGTAGCAACGCGCAAGTAAATCGGTACTCCATGACAGGCGGAACGAGATGGAGGACTCGTTTCCACCAATAAACCGGTAAAAGGTGGTGGCTTATCGGGGGAACTTCCCGAGGATCGATGCATACATCGTAACTATTTTGGGACGAAATAGAACAACACCGCTGCGTGAAGGCTTTCCCCATCTTTTTAGATTATGATTATGAGGACTATTTTCTTTTTTTCAGTGTCAGCTGAGCAGGGGCCAGAGGGCCTAGCCAACGAAAGACATCAAGGACAGAAGGATGCCGAAAGAGTTGGAAAGAGAAGAACGGGTACGGGGATGAGATCTCCGCCGATTTCCCCGATGTTGGGCTATAGCACGAAAGAAACACGGAGAGGGAATGGGTCAATGTTTTAGCAGCAGAGGAGAACCCCAGATTTGCTCAACAGCAGCAACAACATCACCATCACCATGTTGTGTGTACGAACCGGTTAGTGAGGGTATCCAGAAAGAGTTTTGACGGTGGATCTCACACCGGAGAATGATTTCTATTTGTTATTATTATTATTCTCTTGAATGGGCATGTCATAGGTGTTTCGGGTCCATGGACGAAAAGAAGGTGATGATGTCATGTGATGGCGGGGGTTTTCGGGAAGCGCCTGGGTCCTGTGTTGAGCCTGAGGCCAGCAACCCAGCGTCATCGTTGGAACCCCACCAAAACCAGTCCAGTCGTCACGGGAAGAAAAGGGAAGAGGGACACGAATGTCCATCGTTTACCCTCGGGCAACGTCGAAAAATGAGGGACAACTGGGAATGACTAACTGAATACTACTTCTTTCTGCCTTGTTTCTCGGCTTCTTCTCCTTTCTTCCCTTTTCCGTTTTTTTTTCTTATATAGGATCCGAACCCACCCCCGGCGTTCTCCTCTTCCCCCCTCCCTTATTTTCACCATCACGCCAGCAACCGGTCAGTGAAATCATACTGATACCATCCGTTCCCCACTACCCGGTGAGTTCTTTCGAGGGCGGTTGCCCCTCCATGAGTGGCTCAGCTGCCCCTCCTCCCTCCCTACCTTTGCCAATGACACTTGTATTCAATCCCCTGCTCCGTATTCGTCGTTCGGTAAAGATCCTTAGTTCGGAAGCTCCTACAGAACTTATTTCTAGCTGTCCACGTCCTCCGTTTCTTCCTTCTCTTTTTCTTCTTCTTCCAAACTAATTGAATTCTTCTTAGTCGAGCAAGACCAGCTATCTGATCTAATCTTTCCACTATCACAATGGGTGTCCTTGAGAAGCTTTCCCGCAAGGCCGGTGTCATCGTCGGTGATGACGTCCTGCGTCTCTTCGAGCACGCTCAGGAGAACAACTATGCGATCCCCGCCATTGTAAGTCGTCTCGATGGGACCATCAAGAGTGATTCACCCAATTGACCAGTCTACCCGTGTCTAGAACGTGACCTCCTCTTCCACTGTCGTTGCTTCCCTCGAGGCTGCTCGCGACAAGAACTGCCCCATCATCCTCCAGCTCTCTCAAGGTGGTGCTGCCTACTTCGCTGGCAAGGTACGTCGAAATCAACCCCTACTCGCGCCTGCATCCCGCTAATATCCCTCATTGTAGGGTGTCAGCAACGACGGCCAGAAGGCCTCCATTGCCGGTGGTATCGCTGCCGCCCACTACATCCGTAGCATTGCCCCCGCCTACGGCATTCCCGTTGTCCTTCACACCGACCACTGCGCCAAGAAGCTCCTCCCTTGGCTCGATGGCCTGCTCGACGAGGATGAGCGCTACTTCAAGCTTCACGGCGAGCCCCTCTACTCCAGCCACATGATTGATCTTTCTGAAGAGTCCGTCGAGTACAACATCAACACCACCGCCGCCTACCTTAAGCGCGCTGCCCCCATGAAGCAGTGGCTCGAGATGGTGAGTGATGCCTCTGCCCCTGCA